GGGGGGGGGGGGGGGGGTGTATATTCATATATTCATGTTCATATACCGTAAAAACAATCCCTTTCAAAAGAAATCCGTCTGGCAGAACACGAATATATGAATATGCACCCCACCCCCACCAATTATCGGTCTAGCGGTTAGCTACGGCCCTGAAAGTTCGGGTTATTGACCTTTTTCATCAGCTCTAAAATATAGTTATAGTTATAGTGCTCGCTCAAAATCCCACGTATAAAATTGAACCTTTCGACAAATCAGGAGTTGCTTCGGTCCAATTACTGTTTATCAGCTTGTTATTATCTATTGCCACTTGCATGCTGTTTACCAGGTTAGCCCATTGTACGAAAGAAAGATCAAAGCAACATAGCTCGGGTTCGGACACTATTTCTGAACATGTTATGAAAATAGAGTCCCAGGGCAATCAGCAAACACTCGAAATTCCTCGTTCTTTTGAGGAAAGTACTGTCGAGAACAGTCACCTAGTTCATTTCTTTTAGTCTCTGGAGGTACAAAATGTCACCTGTCTTACTTAAAGGACATCACGCTAAATCTTATCTACAGTCTTATCGCAGAGCCTTTCTCGCGCCGCGCGGCTTGATGCCCACCAATGTTTGAGCATTAATTATGCGATTACAATAATTTACAATTATGTAGATCATTTATGGGCTTTGTATACATTCAAAACTTCAGATAAAAACACAATGTTATTTACATTGCATGTATATACAATGTAAATATGTTAATTCACTATTGAGGACAATGTAAACGGGATATATGTTAATTAAACTTATATAAATTTTTTCTCCCTGAGTTGCTTGAATAAGTCTTCGATTGCTCCGTCCATCGCAACTTCTTTGGTGGAACAATGTGTCCGCTCTGCCGTTTCACCAGTTGCAACATCTTCCACTTTCGCATCGTAATCTTTAGGTTTTGCAACCAAATTTCGCGTTGTGGTTGAGTACTTAATTGTGCGGCAATTATGCATTTTCTGAAATATAAGCCAAGAGAATAGACGTTAGAAATGGAGGAAGGGGAGCAAGGCAGACAGAATTCAGTGAAGGAAAGAAGCAAGATGATTAAAGATGATTTCATGATCTTACTATGGCTGGGATTACACTATACCGGATTGATTTTCATACCGGATCAATTTTCACACCGAAGCCAAAATCAAGGGTGTTTACACTATGCCGCTTCGCTCTGTCGCCAGCTCGTATCTTTTATCGTTGCCACGGAAACAAATAATAAGTTTTGACCATTTTGGACGTTTTCTCGACAGTACTTGTGAATTATAACTTTGTTTACAAAGCTTGACCACCCGACGTTGCTTTGTCTTGCTCTTATCGAAAATTGACGAGTATTTCATTAAATTTTGCCCTTTTGAAAGCAAGAAGTCAATGTTATTACCGCTATCTTTATTTGTCTTCGCTAGAAATAATAAATAATTGTAAAGCGAAGCAAACAACAGCTATAAAATATTTAAAAGCGAGTAAATAAAACGACAATGTTAAAATATACTTGCCGAAACCTATTTATAGTACCGGAGCGTACCGGATTGCCTGATTACACTTGGTTTTATCCGGTACAGCACGTACCGGATTACTTTTCATATCACCTCCAAAGCGAAGTGATTTTCGCGCCGCGGCACGTACCGGATTACAGTGGCGTAGTGTAAACAAGAGGCCAATCCGGTACAGAAATCGCGTCGCTTCGATGCAATCCGGTATAGTGTAATCGGGGCCTATATATAAGAGATACGAGAAACGTGCTTCATGTATGGGTAGCTTCATGCATATAAGGCCATATGCTTCATATATGAATAGCAAGCATTGAATTCATGATCATTTGCTGTTATTAGCAGAATATGTGTCGGTAGTTGTGACTGAATTTCATTGCTTGAACAGTCATATGGTTTATTATCAAAATCACTCGCTATCGGGAGTGTGAAATTGAGTTCTGGTGGTGGTGCTACACCTTCACAAGACATGATGGTATAAACGACGTCACGTGGAGTTCAATGCATAGCGTGAGTGAAATTGAGTTCTTGTGGTGGTGCTATACCTTCACAAGACATGATGATATAAACGACGTCACGTGGAGTTCAATGCATAGCGTGAGTGAAATTGAGTTCTTGTGGTGCTAGGTGATCACTGCTTTCGCAAGACATCGGGTAGACAATGAACTCTTTCAACAGAAGTATGCATACATATGTGCATATGTGCATACATATACATACGTTTTACGTAATTAATTTTTTCCCTTTTTTGCTACTGTTTTATGATTTTGATCATAATAATCTAAGCTCTCTTACTAAAAGATGCGAAAAACTAGTTTCACATGTATTCTGACACTGTAGAACGAAAAATTCGTTGTCTTGAGCGGGATTCAAACTCGTGTATTCGGGTTTCTAGCCCACCGCTCTCCCCATTGAGCTGTCGACGGGGATTGGTAGCGAGTCTTAAAATCTAATTGTACTGATACTTACATGTCCAGTTTCAATGTCAAGTTTTTCGGGGTTAACTATATGAGACAAATATAAATAGGCACGCAATTATAAACTGCCTTGAGAATAATTCGTGTTTTATTCTGGTCCAGTAACGTCTATTACCTTTTGGGTCTTCCATCTCTTCGTGGCGAGGCCATTGTCGTAATACAACGGGGTGTTTGAACATATTGTATACAACAGATGCCGCTATTGCACTAGAAAATGGCTGCCAAAGTTTTGTTCTCTCTTTACTTCCATCTGCGAAATCTGACACTGCCTTAATAACAGCACATTCAATACTGAGGTTATACGCCGCTTCGTATAGACCTGTAATTTAAACACATATATAGATGAATACTCATGAACACGTGGACGTAATAGCCGGTTCCCCTTATTGCGTATTCTGAATACAACTACCAGCATGCTTTTCGGACGTGTTATTGGATCTTATTGCATAATGAAGAAAATACCCGCAAAGTATCATGGTAGTTGTATTCAGAATATGTAATAAGGGGAACTGGCCTTTGTTTTATAGAATTCCATTTAATAATTGACAAATCTATGAACCGGTTTAAAACGTTATAGCTTTATAGGCGAATGATGTAGGATGTTCCTACTTACCTTTACCCTCCATTTCAAGACCAAGTGCATCGGGAAAAGAATTCAGTAATTCTTCTCGTCTTTCACGATAGTCGACTAACTCCGGGCCACTCAACATCACAGCGTCTCGATGAACTTCAACTTTTAAACTACTTTGGACTTTTAGTGGTGGTTCCCAACCATCAGCTGCATGTAGAATTAGATCTGCCATATTTTTACTAACGTTCACTCTAATGCCACGATACTGATATCTGCCATCTGCCATGACTTTCTTATCATCATAAGTCGCCAATTTGGCGGAAATCACGACATCACCAAGTTTTGCCTTCGCCGGTTTCATAGTTGCACACAGCCCGACGAAAAGAACGACTTTGGGGTATAATATCCCAGCAGAATTTGTGACAGCTGTCTGAGCTTTGCTCGATCCCTGTGCACATTTTATCAGCGCTACCTTCACATTCTCATTACTTTGATCACCGAACTGACCAAAATCTACCATTCCTAGTTTCGTAGAATAACCTCGTAGAACATCTTTCATATATGAATAGCAAGCATTGAATTCATGATCATTTGCTGTTATTAGCAGAATATCTGTTGGTAGTTGCGACTTAATCTCGTCACTTGACCAGTCATGTGGTGTGCTGTTAATTTCCCTCTGTGTTACGAGAGTGAAATTGAGTTCTGGTGGTGGTGCTACATGATCACTGCTTTCACAAGACATGGTGGTAGACAATGGACGCTATCAGCAGAAGTATGCATACATATGTGGATATATGCATACATACATACATACGTTTTACGTAATTGATTTTTTTCCTTGTATAAATATGTTTGCTACTGTTTTATGATTTTGATCACAATAATTCAGAGGATCTATAAATGCGCTGTATACATTCATTCACTTGTTCCATGGTGCAATAATGTTAGAGTCGTAGAGATCACGGGGTGCATGATTGTAAATTGCTTGATTTTCCGGATGAAATCTCTCGCATAATAGACGCTAAAAACGTCAAAATTTTGCGTTGTAAGCAAAGTAGCAACAATTTTTGTGGCTGTATTCAGAGGTACGGACAAGGGGTATGTACATATAGTATGTACATATCTATATATAGGTCTTACAGATAACTTTACAGTCAATACGCAGCCTCGTACCCAGGCGCAAATAACAAAAAATAGGCACACTACAGTGTTTTTATATAGATCAGTGGCTAAGCTGAGCGGGGATGCTTGGCTTCCCTTTCCGGTTGCGTCCTCCCCAAGCACCCCCGCGCGCTCGCTCAGCTGAGCGACTGATCTATATAAAAACACTGTAGTGTGCCTATTTTTTGTTATTTGCGCCTGGGTACGAGACTGGTCAATACGGGTTAATCCAAAAATGTGCGTAATGAGCAATGGATCTTAGTAGAACAATAGACAGAACTGAGGCTTGTGATGCTGAAAGAGCGACCCCTCTTCCCTAAGAACTGGCCCCTAATTTCACCCTCAATATGGCTAACTCAATTAATGACTATATATAATTATACATAGGCCTACCTCTCCCATCCATCTCAATGGCTATAGCGTCTGGGTAGTGTCTCAGTAACTGCTATCGTCTCTCGAAATTATTGACCAACTCTGGGCCGCTTAATATCACATTTTCGCGATGAACTTCAACCTCGAAATCGCTGGACTTTTCCAACGGTGGATTCCAAGCGTCCGCTGCAAACTGAATGAGATCTTTTTATGTGTCCACTCGCGTTCACTTTAATTCCACGCAATTCTTCAGTTCCGTCTTCCGTGATTTTCTTTTTGGAATACAGACTCTGACAGCTCTGTTTTGCTGAAGTCAGGTTTTAATAACTGCATTCTCGTTAAACCTCGTCTTCGCAAAGTAAATCAGTTATAATTCAAACCACTCATGACTTTTAAATTTTATCACTGGGGAACAGTTGCTAGTAACTACCTATGTGTCCGTATATTATGACTTGTAGGTATAAACGTGGTCAGTATATTATGACTCGTTCTTTAGAAAGACGATTTCTATATCAGTCTTTTAGATAGATGGGTGAGATACATGCAATCAATACAACTCAAACTTAAAGGTGATCTACAGTCCGATCTGCGCATGTGCACAAATGAGCCCACTTTTTATGGTACAAACAGTTTAACTATGTTTTGAGTTCTTGAAAAGCCTGATTGTTGTTTCTTGATCATTAATTTATTATACTCTAGAAGCTTGAAAATATATATAGTTGTCGAATAAAGCTCAATATTTTGGACACAAAAATGTAAACAAAGGCTTTATTTACATACGGACTGTAGATCACCTTTAAGATAAAAATACAATGTCGTTAGATTACTTAAAAATAGAGTGTATGTGTTGATTTAATACTGAGGATCTAATGTAAGCAGGATATATGTTAATAGACGTTACGCATAACGACGTCACAAAGCTTGATGCCCGCGAGGAGTGCTGGTCTTAATAGTTACCGCCCGGAAAAATTTCGATAGTGGCCATTTTGAATTGTTTAATTTTTTAATTTTCCCGGGCGATGACTACTAAGACCAGCATTCCTCGCGGGCATCAAGCCTTGTGACGTCATTATGCATAAGGTCTATTAAGAAAGTGTGGATTGCGAGGGATTCAACTTCCTGAAAAATACAAGTAAAACGTCGACGTTTTGAGCGAAAGCCTTTCACTAACTTCCCTATGAAGTGCCTTCGCTCGAAACGTCGAAATTTTTCTTGTATTTTTTAGGAAGTTGAATCCATCTCAATCCACAACTTTCTGGCGTTATTGTCACTACCATACGCTAGAACAGACTGTTCGAGTTTATCGTTATCAATCTTATATTAATTTGCGTTTCTTCCGTTGCTTAAATAACTCTTTGGTTGCTGCGTAAATTGCCTGATCAGCTGTTTCAAAATGGTTTTTCACAGAAAAGCCGGTTGAACATCTTTCGCTGTTGCATCGTAGACTCAAGATTCAGTCTATGAGTGAACTCGTCCTGAAGCTAAGTATTTCATTGTACGACCATCATGTATTTTCTAAAGATATTAAATAAGAGGACACACTAAGGTTTGTAGTTACTAGTTTTAGTTCCTAGTTCCCAAGTTCCCGCTTTTGGCGTTGAACATTGCTTTTAAGGGTCATGATCAACCACAATGCAATACGCGCTTTTGTTTACGTTTTTCAGTTACTTTCCTCAATAGTTGCCGCCATTTTCGAGATCACGAAAATGGCTGCCTTCTGCCCACAACGTAACAGAAACGTCAACAAACGTACGCATTGCATTGTGGTTGATCATGACCTTTTAAACTAGTTATCTTGACAAATTACGTGTCGTAGGTAGGAGACAGTACTTAAGTCGATAAACGTCCGTAGGGGTCGCTGATATAATGAGAGTGGGCAGTTTTCTTTGACGATCTCTTTTCTTAACTCTCAAGACTTGGTCGAAAGATTTGCGTGAATAATCACGCAATGAACTTGAATAAATATAAAAGAAATACTTTTGTTACTTCATAAAATTCTGTTCGTATACACTGAGGCCAAGTAAAAACGTTTAGTACACACAGTCACATACAGTACACACTACTTACCATTTTTAATAGAGTAAGAAGATGAACCATCTGCTCGGCCTGCATCAGTATCGTCACAATATTGGGATGTGATAGCCTCATCTAACAAAACGATAAATTATCAAATTGTACAAAATGTTGTTGAGGTTGGAGCCCGTAGCATCTATGCTTGCTCGCAGACTAAAAATAACATAGAACCAGTTCGAAACAGAAATCGCGAAATTGCAAAAATGCAATTTGGCAAACATTCCAGAAAATTCTTGAACCCCTTTGCTGCACTTGCTTTGTTAACGAATTGTCTATAATTATGTCATTTCCTTTTAAAAAAGGAACCCGATATTACATATATAATGTTCTATACTGAGATGTAGTTTGGCGGTTGAATCTTGCTTTGAGACATGACAAGTTTTGCTGACAAGTTTGTATAAAATGTCATGGCCCTTTGACAAATGTTGGCAAGGATTTTAACCAAAAGGTGTCTAAAATAAAAATTAAATATGCGTCAGTGTTGTGATTCTTACCTCGTTCGTGTCCACGTGGTGATGATGCATCGTTTCGTCTTTGAATGTTGCAAATTCTTTCTTGGATAGGAGGGTTCTGCCGTTGTAATTTACGGAGACTTTCCTTGCTGTCACATTGCTTGAGATGACAAATTGAATCCTGGTGTTTGCCAATTCTGCTGCAGACATCTGCCAAGCCAACCAGGGCTTCAAGATAGAACTTAATTGTCACATCGTATTTTTCAGCTTGCTCGGCTGAGAGGGTAAAGATCTCTGTCGCTCTAGGGAAATACTCTTCATTGTTGGTACTCAAATAAAACTCTGCAATGGCGTTCATATGTCTGGAATATTGAACTAGATGTTCGTTCGTTCGGTCAACATTCTGCGCTCCATAAGGTGTCAATAACTCGAAAAGATCTTCACAAGCTTGGGCGCCATCTTTGATACATCGACCACCGTCTTCATTGATCTTGAGCAAACTTTTGTAACATTTTATGATCTGTTGATAACACTTCAACTTGCTGGACGTGTCGTCTTTCGTTCTTTTCAACATTCCCATTTCGAAAAATCTTCTTTCTTCACTAACCAACTTTTGGTAATAAGTAATAGCATTCTTCAAGTCCCTAGCATGGACCTGTTTTTCCTTATCTGTACCATCTGCCAAGTCGTGGTTAACCAGAAGATACAAGAGACCATTCGCTTGCACCATGAATTCATGTAAAACAGCGTCACCTCGATTCATTCTCTTACTGATTGCACGTGAAAGGCAATACGCTCGCTTTAGAAGACTGATGTAATAAGCACTTGGATGTTTGAGTGTTGTTCGATATCTGTAGAAATAATTTCGACCAAAGCTGTAAATCACTGAGAGATAAAGTTCTGGTAGAAACAATTCACGATAGCGATCCACGCTGTACGTCACCCCATGTTTAACTAACTCTTCGACATCACTTCGTGAAAGTGGTTCTGAAGATCTGATCTTTTCCCTCACCGTCTCATTCTCCTTGACTTGTTCAGGAAACATAGCAAGATCTTGTTCGTTTACAGTGCGCCAGAATACAAGTTCAATCAAGCTTGATGATAGTTCTGAACTCTTCTTAGTCAGTTTTGTTGACAACTGATGTGCGACAGCGAAATCATTGTTGGTAATACCAAACATATCTCGATCTTTGTCAGTAACACCAAACATCTCTTGTAAGTGTTCATTATCCGATTCATTCACAGGTTGTAAATCTTTTTCGGTTATTCCACATAGCTTATGAAGTAAATATGTAGCACATTCAAAATGATCGTCCAGTTCATCTCGTATGAGGGGCTGTTGCTGAGTGTATGTGAAGCCAAGCAACTCTGATAATCGAGCCAATGTTATTGATGCGATCATCTTTCTGCTTTCATTATTAGTTGGATCATCATTCTGCTTGTTCTCCAATTCTTTCAGATATACCTTCGCATGTTCTCGCAGAAATACCTCGACATGTTCACACACGACACGCTGAAGAAAATGACTTTTTGAAAAACGGTTATCTTTACTGATATATCTGACAAATATTCCTGCCAATCTGCACGGTAGATGCTGTAGATCTGCTTTAACTGACTTATTTTCTTTGATCATGTCTTTGATTACATACTGAGTAAAAGAATGGTAAGAAAAGAACCGATTTTTATTTTGGTTTGTGATCTGAACCAGTGATTTTAGCTGAGCATGTATAGCATCTAAACGTGCTGCGTTTTCCGAAGAATTGCTTGCAGATAGCTGATTACTTAGAAGAAATACTGGAATCATGTTATTGGAGATAAAAGATGTAGTAGCAATCGCCAGAAATTTGTCAGGATCAACTTCTTCTAAACATGCACGTATACTGTGGTAGAGTGCTGGATGTCCACTTGCATCGCCTTGATCTTTCCTTACGGTCTCACTTTCACGCAGTCTCCTTAGGTAAGCACGAGCAGTTATCTTGTGTCTCAACATGTAATCTCTTGCAACTGTCAGACCAAGGATATTCCAACCAAATTGTTTACAGAGCTTTAAAATATCTTCACCATCATCATCGTGAATTTCTTGAAGAAACTCAAAAGCTTCATCGAATTCCTCTACTCGAAGTTCCTCTGCATCAGGGAGATCGAAATGCAAAAAGGCGATATTTGTTGTAATAATTATATAAACTGAACTTCGGATGTTCCACAACTCTCTAAACCATTCATCACACGGCTTCTTTTGTACGTTATCCAACAGAAATATTATATCTTCTTGTCTTTCAGCTCTTTGTTGAATAGTTTGAAACAACTCTCGATACGATACCCCAAGTTCCTTGGCCAGTCTAGTCAACGACGCAATGGCACTATATTTACCAGTAGATGTAGAGACATCAATACGCCATCTTATTGCAAACTTCTGTTTGTTCACATCAATATAATGCCGAGTTGCGGACGTTTTCCCCGTTCCAATTGTTCCATGCAATACTTTAATCTTTCCTTTTTGGATCTTCTGAATTTCATCATCTAATTTCTTTCTTGGCCAATAACTGTGCTCCAGTTCGTAGCAATTGCTAACAGACGCTTTATTTGTGGGATCTAAGAGTACACAAGTGGCGGTTTAAATTAGATATTGTACAGTGTATGGTGCCTTCATCTCTGCGAGTACGGTTCTTGCGAACGGTACTTCCACGTTTTCGCCTCTCCGATTATCTCCTGTAGTAATACTGGTTCAACAGTTCAGAATTGATATAGGTATATTTAGTTCTATGTGGCTTAAAAAAGGCCCTATAGTATACCTGTATATATAGAGGATATTACTCGGCGGCGCGAATGATGACTTTTATCTTCGAATGGTGAAACAATATTTTACGAACGAGCACAGCGTGTGAGTAAAATATTGTTTTTAACACGAGAAGATAAAAGTCATATCTTCAAGTGTGCTTCAAGCCACCGTGTATAATGTTCTGTTTATTGTATTAATATAGTCCCAAGCAAAAAATTGTGAAATTTTACGCTCAAAAACAAATTGTCACGTGATCGATATTTTCACTAGTGAAGATATGGAAAATATCTCACTGTGTATTTCTCAGTATCTCACTCTCTACTATATAATAAAAATATATATATAGGTTACGAAACTATATATATACACTAGAAATTTAGAAATTTCCATTTACAAAAAGCCCCTAAAAGAATAACTACCTTGTGCGTCTTTCGTTTCTTTGTGGCGATACCAGTTTTTTAGCACAACAGGGTGTTTAAACATATTGTAGACGACAGATGCCGCCATTGCACTAGAAAATGGCTGCCAATCCTTTGTCACGTCTTCACTTCCATCAGCAAAATTTGACACTGCTTTAATAACACCCCATTCTAGACCAAGGTCATGTGCCGCTTTATATAGACCTAAAAGTTTAGCACAAAATGAAAACACTGGGAGGTCTTCATTATTTATACATCCTGCTAACTTGTTTAGGAGCAATTACGCATCCAAGCGTATTAAGGTGGCTCGCTACAGTTTATAGAAATGTTGAAAATGCGGAAACTAGATCACCTTTTTGAAGAGATGATACTCTTTACAAATCGAATTTTGTATATTATATATACAGCGACAATCAAACAGTCGAAAATTACTCAGAAAAGTGACGTCACCACTGTTGCTATGGCAACAATGACGATTCAAGATGGCTGATAGTTTGGCTTTGAACGCATTTTACTTTAAAAAAAGGTCGGTTACCCCCATTTTTTATTTCAGAAAACATTTTCTTATAATACAATACACTATCTGACCAATTTTAAAAAAATTCTGTAATGCCAAATTTTTTAAAAATTTATAAACATGGTTTTTCGAAATAATTTTTTTTTTGCATTACAGAATTTTTTAAAAATTGGTCAGATAGTGCATTGCACTATAAGAAAATGTTTTCTGAAATAAAAAATGGGGGTAACCGACCTTTTTTTAAAGTAAAAATATCGGCCATCTTGAATCGTCATTGTTGCCGTAGCAACAGTGGTGACGTCACTTTTCTGACCAATTTTCGACTGTTTGCTTGTCGCTGTGTATATAATATTCAAATTTCGATTTGTAAAGAGCATCATCTCTTCAAAAAAGTGATCTAGTTTAGGCATTTTCAACATTTCTATAAACTGTAGCGAGCCGCCTTAAGGAATTGCGCACCGAAGGAATTTCCCGAGAAATTTGCTTGCCTTTTTGCCGTGATTTGGTTTTATCAGACTGACAAATTTATACACTACTTTAAAACCTTGTCACGTGATCGATTCCATATCACTAGTGATGATTCCATATCTTCACTAGTGAAGATATGGAAAATATCTCACTGTGAGAAATTTCTAAGTGGTGAAGATGAATTGTCATTAGCTCAAAATAGATACATTTTTTCCAGTGTGCAAAAGTTTATTAGGCAATCCAGACGTTTTGTTGGCTATGCTTATGTAGATGAATGTGATGAAGTAATCCAGCTGTCTCCTGGCTGATGTTATTTAAATGTAAATAGGCGTAAGCCCCCTTGATGAGCTTATTAGCTCTTGGGGCAAACGTTTCTCAAAATATGTTTAAATAAATAAAACCTTAACCTAGCCTTAACATATATTTATAGCCTTAACATAGATATTTAGTAGACCATAGTTAATAGAAATAAAAAACTGTTTATTATTTCTATTAACTATGAGTAGACAAATAGCAAAGCCACCCCTTTTCTTTAAGGAAGCTAAAATATGGTCTTATAACAATCTTTGACAATCTATATACCTAAATTGGGCAATGTAGTTTTCGCATGCACTCAGATGTATCATAGTTTTACCATTTCCGCTTTGTGCATTTGTTTCTATTTCTTATAAAATCGTGCTCTCATTGGCTGATCTGAAACTCCTCACCAATGGGAATATGAATACACATCCGGGACTGGAATTTGCCCTCCAATAACCGCGTTCCCTTCTTTTGGACTGAATTAAGATTACAATGCCTCCTCTAGTGTTATTAATAATCTCTATGGGTTAAGAAAGGTAATTCAACTTTGGCGTGTTCTTGTGCCATTACTATTAATTAATTAAATGCACAGATCTATTTTTTCTATATTACTAACAATAGGGTTTTAGCTTTTGATTGGCACCTTTTTCATTCCAAGCACAATTGACTAAATACGAGCCGATTAAAAATTGCCGGTCAAAAGGCTGCATATTTCCACTTTTGTGCATAACTAAGCAGTACAATAAAAAGAAGGCAGTCGAACTTTAGCATGTTCGTATGCATTAGATATCGAGTTTATTGATAACATTTTTACACAGCAATAAAATTTTGATTTTAGCTGTCCAATAATGATACATTTTTTTCTTATTATAAAGAAAAATGACCAAATACGAATTGAATAAAAATTGATGCTTGTGATGTTACTCTGAGTGTATATCCACACCGGGCAAGCTTGAAAAATATGCCTGTCCACAGTGGGAATGGAACCTACGACCTTTGGAATACTAGCCCAATGCTCTGCCAGCTGAGCTACGCGGTCAGGTCGGTTCAAGTATGTGATATTTTGGAACTGAGTCTAGTTTACATCGATATCGAAGGAACTTAGCCTGCGTGCAGCCTGACTTTCCCTTCCCCATCAAAAAGTCAGGCTGCACGCAGGCTAAAGGAACTAGACTCAGTTCCGAAATATCACATACTCGAACCGACCTGACCACGTAGCTCAGTTGGCAGAGCATTGGGCTAGTATTCCAAAGGTCGTAGGTAATCACCTGAGTATACATTACACCAACACAGAAAAAATTCATGAATAAAAATTGTCAGTCGAAATCCCATTTTTTCATTCATTCATTTATAATGGATTAATGCTGTGTTGTGGGAAAATGTGTCTAAAAACTAGTGTTTTTATAGCCTCGTTTGGAAGCTTAAAAATCTCGGCTGAAACGAGACCATAAAGCCCTCGGCAGCTGATTGCGCATAGATATCTTATATACACTAGATAGCGCATCTCTTTTAGTAAAATTGAAGCCAAGAATATTCCAGCGGTTACCCCCATTTGAATAGATGGCGGCCATGTTGGATATTCCAGCGGTTACCCCCATTTGAATAGATGGCAGCCATGTTGATCGTTTCCACTTGCTAATAAACGCTTAAAAACAACAATAACTTTCATCATTTGAATACTTTAAAAACGTATTTGGAATAGGATTAACATAATGTTTAAGTTCCCTGTTTAAGAAATAGAAAACATACGAACCTTCTCATTTCATGGAAACGACCTGAGACTGCAATCACGGCTTCAATTTTTGAATTGCAGAATAATTAGATGCACTATCTAGTGTATATAAGATATCTATGTGATTGCGTTTAACTGGGAAAACTGCCATTTATATATATAGCAGACAATTGTGGACAAAACTGCATGTTAATCAAATAGATCGAAAGTTTAGGAAAATACATTCAGATATTTTCATTAGGTTTCCCCCCTCTCCCACCCACATTATTTTCCCCACATTCTCAACAACATTTTGTTGGGGGAGGGGGGTATTTTAAAATAAAATTTATTAACAAGTTATGCCCACGAGTGTGGGTACGGAGGCCGCTGAGCCTTGAAGGATGATACGAATGCTTCGTTCGTTACCACTATTTAAGAATTCCTTAAATTATTACTATAATTTGTAAAATGACTCCCACACGGCAATCTTGGAAATCAGTTGTAATTATTTTTAATATTTAATGAATGTACTGAAGATTTTACCGTGTTAAAATACAGTTTTATTGTATTGTATTGTATTGTATTGTATGAAATTCGATATATGTCCCACAGTTTTGGGCAAAGATAGTAGGAGGCTTCTACCTACCTTCACCTTCCATTTCAAGACCAAGTGCGTCTGGAAAATGATCCGATAACTCCTGTCGTCTTTCACTACAATTTACTAAATCCGGGCCACTTAACATCACGGCGTCACGATGTAGTCCGACGTCTAAACTTTCCGGGTCTTTTAACGGTGGTTTCCAACCATCAGCTGCATGGAGAAACAGTTTTGCCATATTTCTACTAACCTCCGTTTTAACGCCGTGATACTCCACTGTGCCATCTGGCTTGATTTCCCTACGTGTATAGGTTGCCAACTTGTCGGAAAGTACGACATCGCCAAGTTTTGCCTCCTTCGGTCTCATTGATGCACAGATCCCAACAAAAAGGACTACTTTGGGGTTTAAAATTGTAGCTCCAATTGTGGCAACCGTCTGAGTGTCGCTCGATCCCTGTCTACATTTCACCAATGCAACTTGCACTTTCTGATCATCCCCATCGCCAAATTGACCAAAATCTACATATCCTAGCTCTGTATAGAAACCTCGTCTGATTTGTTTCATATATGAATAGCATGCATTGAATTCATTGTCGTTTGCAGTTATTAGCAGAATATCTGTTGGTGGTTGTGACCGAATCTCTTCATCATACCGATCATGTGGTTTCTCATTAAAGTCTCTCTGTGTTTTGAGAGTAAAATTGAGTTTTGGTGGTGCTACGCAATCATTGCCTTCACAAGACATGATGATTAAAAATCATCTCGCTCTACAAACTTAAATACAATTAACAACGATGACTCATGGTTGTATTCAGTGCTACGTTTTAAGTGGGCGGATAGCACATGCTGGTGAGGCTCCCCATTGTCGAAATAAGTTAACGCTAAATTTTTTTAATGATTGATAATGCTTTTATCATGAAAATCAATGCTCAGCATGATGTACGTAAAAGAGTCATCACAAAGTCAAATCGTTTTGTGTGTTATCATCACATGTCACAATTGCATGTTCGTAGCCTCGCTTGTGTGTCGTCTGTCGATTTCGTTCATCATGAAATTGTCTCTTCCTGCAAAAATATCCTAAAGGCTGTATGTAAATAACCTGTCGTGAGTACTCGCGTCAGCACCTTGCGATTCACACAATCGGGAAAAAATCTGTAACAAAGCACAGATTTTTCTCACGATTCAACGATTTTTTTCGTTGTAAAATTGTTGAAAACTTTTCGCACGCAGAAAACTATAATATAAACAGACGAGAGAGCGGGCAGCTTCAATGGACCATTTGCATTATAGACTAAATTTTGATCTAGACAAAAATTTCATCACAGCTTGAAAGAGCATCACAAAATTAGTAATATTCCAAAGTTTCGTTGCGATATGTTGTAAAACGCCGTTAATATAGCCTTGCGAAGTTTGCTATTTTTCAGTCATTTTGTATTACGCACGGGCAATTGACAGCCCAATCGGGTGTTGGGGCATCAATTTCCTGTTTGTAATCTAAAATGACTGAAAATTGCAAATTTCGCAAAGCTATATTATCCGCATTTTACAACATTTCGCAACGAAACTTTGCAATATTACTAATTTTGTGATGCTCTTTCAAGCTGTGATGAAATTTTTGTCTAGATCAAAATTTAGTCTATAATGCAAATGGTCCATTGAACGTTTAAATCGCTAAATGTCGAAGAAGGGGCAACAATTATTTACCAAAATCGGCCCGACAAATCGCAGCGTGTAAACGTAGTTTAATGAAACATTAGCTTTTAAATAAATCGTAAAATTTAAAATATCATTTCTTTTATTTTTTCACATACATTATGGTGGGCATTGATTTTTGAATGTTTCTCCATAAACATGCAATAATGCTATAACGTTATTTAGTCCGCATTGATAAACCAGCCATCGCTGAACCAATCTATATACGCTTGTTTAAATAAAGAATTCAATAATGGTTACGGTTCAGGGTTGTTTTGGGGTCAGAATGTTATTTGACTTGCTTCTTTTCATTCATTTGCATATTTAATGGTATATAGGCGGTAAAATTATAACCTGCACATGCACAGTACAATATTCAAACGGTTTTCTTTCTGAAACTATTAAGTTGAACACTCTCGCGCTCTCATTACGGTTAATTCACGTTAAAGCAAGTTATTATTGCGAAACATACAATGCACGATCAGAAATACAGCGAATAATATTCTATATAGATTGTAATCTAGTGAAAAAGAGTAAAACTACTCCCCTAGCTTTTTAGTTTATTGATTTAAAGTAATCACTACAAAAGATAAAAAAATACAACTTTTCATGGAATAAATGTGAATCTGCTTTCAATTACATAATTCAGTCTAAATGTTGATTAATCTTGTATTAATTTTTGCGTTGCCTGAGTTTCTTCATTAACAATTTCCTTACTCCGTTGATCGCCCAGCTCGCCGCTTTAAAATGTCCTTTCTCTACAGTTGCTCCAGTGGCGACGTTCCTGGCCTTTTCGCTTTGTACTCAGTGTTCTGTCAGGGAGAGAAATTTTTATTGGTCATAAAGAAGGTATAGTGAGATAGAAGATAAATAGGCAATGAAGGAGAAAGGATTGGAATGATAGAAGAAAGGAAGAAAAAATGGATGCAAGGAATATATGGGGAAAGAAAGAAATGAAGATGTCAGATGCCTCGGAAGATCATCTCATTTTCGATAACAGGCCTCCGCGCTTAAATAAAGTTCACTATTCGTAATACTTATCTGATCTGGCTGACCGGTTTTTGTGTCATCACGTGAAGTTGTGGGGATGCCTAAAAACGAAAATATAACGACGTGTATAATTTATATTTAAAATAATTCCAAAATTGTATTTAAGGTATACCTTCCACGTCGTTTGGCTTGTGGTGAGGCCAGTCTTCTAGCACAACAGGATATTTGAACATATTATATACAACAGATGCCGCCATTGCGCTGGAAAATGGCTGCCAATGTTTTGTTTTCTCTTTACTTCCGTCAGCAAAATCCGACACTGCTTTGACAACAGCCCATTCCATGCCAATATCATACGCGGCTGCAAGTAGACCTAAAAATTAAAAAATAAAATTCAGACGTGTGTTCCTGTCGTAGGCATAATGCTAACCCATTTTGCATTAATGGCGCATCAAGGCCTATCATGTTTAAACACCGGTTGGTACAATACACCGGTTTGAAGCCTTATCGGTGTGGAGCACTTGAATGATGAGGGAGGCTTTTACCTACCTGCACCCTCCATTTCAAGACCGAGTGCATCTGGGAAATGTTTCGCTAACTTTTGTCGTATGTCAAGACTATCAACTGAATCCGAGCCACTTAACATTACAGCGTCACGATGAACGGCGACATTTAAACTATTCTGGTCTTTTAACGGTGGTTTCCAACCATCAGCTGCATTGAGAATAAGACGAGCCATATTTCTACTAACGTTCGCTTTGGTGCCGCGATGCTCCACTGTGCCATTTTCCTTAATTTTCTTATCATCATAAGTTGCCAGTTTGGCAGAAATCACAACATCGCCAAGTTTTGCCTTCTCCGGTTTCATGCTTGCACAGAATCCGACGAAAAGGACTACTTTTGGGTTTAAAATTTCAGCAGCATTTTTCACTACTATCAGAGCCGCAGCCGGTCCTTGTGCACATTTCATCAATGCAACTCTCACTTTCGGGTTATTCTGATCACCAAATCGACCAAAATCTACCATTCCCAGTTTCGCAGAATAACCTCGTTGAACATGTTTCATACATGAATATAAAGCATTGAATTCATGATCATTTGCTGTTATTAGCAGAATATTTGTCGGTAGTTGCGACTTAATCTCATTGCTTGACCAGCCATATGGTTCATTATCAAAGTCACTCGCTGTCAGGAGTGTGAAATTGAGTTCTGGTGGTGGTGCTATACGATCATTGCCTTCACAAGACATGATGATACAAATCACAAAGGCAACTCGTTGTACAAAGTTTTAATACAATTAACACCAATGATTCATTGTTGTATTCTCGGATAGCATGTGACGTCACGTGGGGTCAAGGGTCTGTGTCAGGGATAAAGGACGGCTTTTATATTGTTTTATATTGGCTTTTTGGCACACCTATTCTTGCCGGTTTTGACCGAGTCATGTATGGTCAACAATCTCGATTTTTGGATGTCGGATGTCTCACATTTATGACGTTTTGTGACGTAGTCGGAAGTTTTATAATTGCATACTCCAGATTGTCTACGGATGATTCTCCAAATCTTGGCCTGTTTGAAACTCGCGAACACCTCAATGGGCTATGGCATTTAACGCATTTTATAAAGTATTGCTGCAAGGTGCTGCTGCAAATATCTGAGTCTTTAGAAATACACATCTTAAAAAATATATATCACTGTAAGATGAAAATGTGATATTTGCTTAATGCAAGTCTTCCCCAGTCTAAATAAAAACTCTAAAGTTTAGATCAACATTAGATTAGGGTTAGATTAAGATTAGATTAGGGTTAGAGGTTAGGATTAGAATTAGGATTAGAGTTTCCTCTAGATAGATGATTATCATCTATATTTGTGCAATTTGACAATTGATACTATTCATCTATTTATCCCGGAAGAAATTGCGTGTAAGATTACTTGGCATGCACATTACATATCGGCGGGCAGATTGGGTTGCCGGCAAAGAATCTTAGTGGAAATCATTTAAACGTTCAAATGCTTTTAAATTTTATTTAAATCTTTGCAATTTTACTTACAATTAATTAGGTGTTTGTGACAACTTGACTTTGTTTTACAATTGTTACTGATTGGTCCAGTGTTACAAGAGTAAACTATATATTAAACTATATATACATACTATTTTGTGAAAACGAAGACCATTAACCCTGGCAATGCGTCCAGATGCACCCTACTTTATTATGTTACTCTGTCTAACGCAATATTATTTTACTCTGTCTAACGCCAGACGATTGTACTCATCAGGGGGAGAGTGCTGCCACTCAATGGGTTAATTAACCTGATTTACACGAGTGCCGTGCATTCGTGTCGAAAAAGAATTTGATTGAGAAAAAAATTTCTTTGACTGACTTAAACCACGGTTAACCGTGCTTAAACGAAAGGCATTCATTCAGATTGCATACATATACGTTTCTTGAGTTCCTTGAATAAATTTCCATGTTTGAATGGCCGGTTGTTCAAAGATGGATTAGTGCTAACTGCTAACCCTGGGTCAAAATTTAACCTGTTGTTTTGGTTTGTATGTCTATTTGTTTCAAAACTTTAGAAAATAGAACTTCTATTGATCCAGACAAGAAACGATTCTGAAAAGCCCCTTTTGGGATGATCAATTAAATTAATAAAGCATGCACTTGCGAGGTTATACCATAGAGATTATAAATATTAAACACTAAAGGAGGCATCGAGGTTAAAAATTGGGAACGCAGCTAATGGGGGGCGGGGGCAAATTCAAGTCCCGGATATAAAATCGTGCTCTCGTTGGCGGATTTGAAACTCCTCCGGGACTTGAATCCCCAATAAGCCGCGTTCCTCTTGACTGGTAAGATTACAGTGCCCATGGGCGTACCGGAAGGGAAAATTTAGGGGGGCGGAAAGAAATTTGCCCGACTTTCCCGGATTTTGCCTGACAAGTACCGAAAAAATTTTTTCCGGAATTTATTTTTGCCCCCAGTCAGTGTACCATTTTAGGGGTCAAAAAATTTTTCCGGACATACCAAAATTTTCCGGAACCTAACAAAAATTTTGGAAACATCACAAAATTGACCACAAAATTTACAGAATTTGTCCCATTTATTTTTTTAATAAACCAAAATTGCCCGACTGTTCAGCGAATATTGCCAGACTGGCCAACAAACCGGGGGGCGGCCCCCCGCCCGGTACGCCCATGACAGTGCCCCTCTAGTGTTATTAATAATCTCTATGAGTTATACAGGGTGTATAAGAAAGGTAATTCAACTTTGGCGTGTTCTTGTGCCATCACTATTAAATGCACAGATCTATTTTTCTATATTACTAACAATAGGGTTTTAGCTTTTGTTTGGCACCTTTTTTCATTCCAAGCACAATTAATTGACTAAATACGAGCCGATTAAAAATTTCCGGTCAAAAGGCTACATATTTCCACTTTTGTGGCATAACTATAAGCAGTACAGCGTGCAATAAAAAGAAGGCAACCGAACTTTAGCATGTTCGCATGCATTAGATATCGAGTTTATTGATAGCATTTTTACACACCGATCATGTGGTTTCTCATTAAAGTCGCTCTGTGTTTTGAGAGTAAAATTGAGTTTTGGTGATGCTACACGATCATTGCCTTCACAAGACATAATGATGAAAAATCATCTCGCTCTACAAAGCTTAAATACAATTAACAACGCTGACTCATGGTTGTATTCAGTGCTACGTTTTAAGTGGGTGGATACCACGAAATAAGTTAACGCTAAATTTTTTTAAATGATTATAATGCTTTTATCGTGAAATTCATTGCCCAGCATGATGTACTTAAAAGAGCCATCACAAAGTCAAATTGTTAGTACCCCTAAATGACGTTTTTGTGTTATCATCACATGTCGTAATTGCATATTCCTAGCCTCGCTTGTGTGTCGTCCTTCGACTTCATTCATCATGAAATTGTCTCTAACTGCAAAAATATCCTAACTCATTTGTTCTGAGGATGAATTGACTCAGAGATGAAACATTAGCTTTTAGATGAATTGTAAAATTTCATTCATTTTATTTTTTTACACACATTATTGTGGGCATTGATTTTTTGAATTTATTCTCCATAAGCATGCTATGATGATATAACGTTATTTAGTCAGCATTGATAAACCATCGCTGAACCTATCTATTACGCTTGTTTAAATAAAGAATTCAATAATGGTTACGGTTCAGGGTTGTTTTGGTTTTTGTTCAGGCTGTTAATCTCAGAATGTTATTTGACTTGCTTCTTTTCATTCATTTGCATATTAAGTGAGTATATATAGGAGATGAAATTATAACCCTGCACATGCACAGCACAATATTCAAACGGTTTTCTTTCGGCTGAAACTATTAAGTTGAACCCTTGAACACTCTCGCGCTCTCATTACGTTTAATTCACGTTAAGGTAACAGCGAATAATATCACTATACATGTAGATTGTAAATTTGTAATCCAATGAAAAAGAGTAAAACGACTCTCTGCTTCCCCTTTTTAGTTTATTGATTTAAAATAATCACTACAAAAGATAAAAAGATACAACTTTTCATATAATAAATGCAAATCTACTTTCAATTAGGTAATCCAGTATAAATGTTTATTAATCTTGTATTAATTTTTGCGTTGCTTGAATTTCTTCATTAACTCTTTCCTTACTCCGTTGATCGCCCAGCCCGCCGCTTTAAAACGTCCTTTCTCTACAGTTTCTCCAGTTGCGACGTCTCTGGCCTTTTCGCTTCGTACTCAGGGTTCTGTCAGGGAGAGAAATTTTTTATTGGTCATAAAGTAGGTAGTGAGATAGAAGATAAATAGGCAATGAAGGAGAAAGGATTGCATGGAATGATAGAAGAAAGGAAGAAAAAATGGATGCAAGGAATATATGGGGGAAAGGAATGAAGATGTCAGAATTTATTCGTAATGATACTTAACTGATCCGGGCTGACCGGTTTTTGTGTCATTACGTGAAGTTGTGGGGATGGCTAAAAGACGGAAATTTAACGATGTATATAAATTATATTTAAAATAATTCCAAATTTGCATTAACGTTTTTCCAAATTTGAAGGTAAGATAATTTCAAAATTGTATTTAACTATACCTCCCACGTCGCTTGGTTTGTAGTGATGCCAGTCTTCTAACACAACAGAATATTTGAACATACTATATACAACAGATGCCGCCATTGCGCTGGCAAATGGCTGCCAATGTTCTGTTTCCTCATTACTTCCGTCAGCAAAATGCGATACTGCTTTGACAACAGCCCATTCTATGCCAAGATCACGTGCTGCTGCATATAGACCTAAAAATTATAAACAGAAGTTCAGACGTGTTTCCTGTCATAGACGAAATGCTAACCCATTTCGTAGTAATGGCCATCAATGTTGGTACAAATTTATAGGCCTACACCCGGTTTGAAGCCTTGTCGGTGTGGAGCGCTTGGATGATGTGAGAGGCTTCTACCTACCTGCACCCTCCATTTCAAGACCAAGTGCATCTTGGAAATAATCCGCTAACTCTTCTCGTCTTGCACGATTATTAACTAAATCCGAGCCACTTAACATCACAGCGTCATGGTGAACTTTGACGCCTAAACTTCGGGTCTTTTAACGGTGCTTTCCAACCATCAGATGCATAAAGAATAAAATGAGCCATACTTGTACTAACGTCCGGTTTACTGCCGCGATACTCCACTGTGCCATCTGCCATGACTTTCTTATCATCATAAGTCGCCAATTTGGCAGAAACTATGACATCGCCAAGTTTTGCTTTTCCCGGTTTCATGCTTGCACAGATCCCGACAAAAAGGACTACTTTTGGGTATAACATTTCAGCGGCATTTTTCACTGCTATCAGAGCCTCAGCCGGTCCTTGTCCACATTTCATCAATGCAACTCTCACATTCTGATCACCAAATTCACCAAAATATACATATGCTAGCTTTTTACAAACACCTCGTTGAATGTGTTTCATATATGAATAGCAAGCATTGAATTCATGATCATTTGGCTGTTATTAGCAGAATATCTGTTGGTAGTTGCGACTTAATCTCCTTTCTCGACCAGCCATATGGTTCACTATCAAAATCACTCGCTGTTGGGAGTGTGAAATTCAGTTCTGGTGGTGGTCGTGGTGGTGTTGCTATAGGATCACTGCCTTCACAAGACATAATGATACAAAGGCAACTCGTTCTACAAAGTTTTAATACAATAAACAACGATGATTCATCGTTGCATGCCACGTTCGATGTTGCTGGACACCATGCTGGTCATACTCAGAATTGCAGAATAATCTAAAGCTAAAAATGTTGACATGATCGACAAGTCCTTTATCATGGAAATCAGTGCCCAGCATGATATACTTAAAGAACCATCACAAAACTGCCTAAAGTCAAATTTTGATAGCCTTGACTTGTCTCAAAAGAACTAATTTTTCACCTTGTGTTTTATACGACGGATGATACGTTTCTAGTATAAATTTGCTCTATCAGCCGGTGTAAACCTTCACAGTCTCGCGGAAACTCATCTCGATTAAAGCCTTCTTCGCAGGCGATGCGCTTATAGATTGGCAGGCAGAATTTGGTTGCGGGCAAAGAATCTTAGAGTGGTCATTTCGATTATTGGTATGCTGATATTCCTGATTGTAATTCAAAATGAAAAGCAGAGTATTATGCAGTCATTTAGGCTTATTATTGGTTCATGAAGTTAATAGAGATCACGGGGTGATTATAAATTGCTTAATTTTACAGGCGACGTTTCTCAAAAGGCCAAATATTCTGCAATTGTAAATGCTTTCAAATTTTGTTTCATTCTTTCTAATTTTATTTGCAGTTATAAGATGTTTGTACTTGGAGTACGAGTCTATATTAAAACAAACTATAGATAACTTGACTTTGTTTTACAATTGTTACTGATTGGTCCAGTGTTACAAGAGTAAACTATATATTACAATAATTCAAAAATAAAATGCTATTTTGTGCAAACGCGCTATTAATTAGCCTTTCTCACGATGACGAATATCCGCCATTTTTGGGTGGCATCGAATTTTAAATATCCAATGCAGACAATTAAAACAATGTGAAAAGCAATTTTTCAAAATAAACTAACCATTTACAAAGCAAATTTATCGTCATTCGTCCAAAAAATTATGAAAAGTCGCTGTTATGTGGACTTATCGCACAGACTTCATCTGAAATGCCACCAAAAATGGCGGCGTGAGAAAGGCTAATTAACCTGATTTACACGAGTGTCGTGCATCCTTGTAGAAAAATAATTTGATTGAGAGAAAAAAATTCTGCGACCTAAACGAAAGGCATTCAGATATGATTAGTTTGGCTTCAAAGTTTTTAGTTCAAGTCCGATAGACATTTTCATAATTCTTTTCATCTGTTGGATTTGGCCCGTGTAGAAATTGTCTATCAAACGAGTTAAGTATCCGAGCAGTTTGGATTATTTTTTTTGTTGGTAAAGGGCGAAGAATTTTGTGTAATTGTTATCATTTTTAGTGCGAATTCGGTTTGTAACATATTCGAATATCCCCTATGAGGCTATGACAGCTCTGTTTTACTGAAGTCAATTTGTAAGAACTTCATTCTCGTTAAACCTCGTCTTCACAAAGTAAATCAGTTCAAATCACCGTCATGACTTTTAAAATTTATTACTGCGGAACAGTTGCTAGAAATTACCTATCTAAAATGAACATGTCTCCTGTGGTTTTCCGAAACAAAAGTGGTCAGTGCATGTTATGACTTGTTCTTTAGAAAGACGATTTTTGTATTGTCTTTTAAATATATGGGCGAGATACCAACTCAAACTTAAGATAAAAATACAATGTCATTAGATTACTTAAAAATAGAGTGTAAAATTCTAACTCCAATTGTGGCAACCGTCTGAGTGTCGTTCGATCCCTGTCTACATTTCACCAATGCAACTTGCACATTCTGATCATCCCCATCGTCAAATTGACCAAAATCTACATATCCTATCTCTGTATAGAAACCTCGTCGGATTTGTTTCATATATGAATAGCATGCATTGAATTCATTGTCGTTTGCAGTTATTAGCAGAATATCTGTTGGTGGTTGTGACAGAATCTCTTCATCATACCGATTAGCGGTGGTTTCTCATTAAAGTCGCTCTGTGTTTTGAGAGTAAAATTGAGTTTTGGTGATGCTACACGATCATTGCCTTCACAAGACATGATGATTAAAAATCATCTCGCTCTACAAAGCTTAAATACAACTAACAACGATTACTCATGGTTGTATTCACTGCTACGTTTTAAGTGGGTGGATACCACATGCTGGTGAGGCTCCCCATTGTCGAAATAAGTTAACGCTAAATTTTTTTTAATGATTGATAATGCTTTTATCGTGAAATTCAATGCCCAGCATGATGTAGGTAAAAGAGCCATCACAAAGTCAAATTGTTAATACCCCTAACTGACGTTTTGTGTGTTATCATCACATTTCGCAATTGCATATTCCTAGCCTCGCTTGTGTGTCGTTCATTGACTTCATTCATCATGAAATTGTCTCTAACTGCAAACTTATTCTGAGGATGACTTGACTCAGAGATGAAACATTAGCTTTTAAATAAGTCATAAAATTTCAAAAAAATCATTTTATTTTTTTACATAGGTGGGCTTTGATTTTTGAATTTATTCTCCTTAAACATGCAATAATGCTATAACGTTATTTAGTCAGCATTGATAAACCAGCCATCGCTGAACCTATTTATACGCTTGTTTGAATAAATAATTCAATAATGGTTACGGTTCAGGGTTGTTTTGTGGTCAGAATGTTACTTGACTTCTTTTCATTCATTTGCATACTCAGTGGGCATATAGGAGATGAAATTATAACCCTGCACATGAACACCACAATATTCAAACGGTTTTCTTTCTGAAACTATTATATAAGTTGAACCCTCTCGCGCTCTCATTACGGTTAATTTATGGTTAATAACGTTAATTCACGTTAAAGCAAGTTATTATTGCGAACCATATAATGCACGATCAGAAATATTCAGCGAATAATATTCTATAGATTGTAATCTACTGAAAAAGAGTAAAACGACTCTCTGCTTCCCCTTTTTAGTTTATTGATTTAAAGTAGTCACTATACAAGAGATAAAAAGATACAACTTTTCATGGAATAAATGCTGATTGTTTTCGTTAACTCTTTCCTTACTGTGTTGATCGCCCAGCCCACCGCTTTAAAATGTCCGTTCTCTACAGTTTCTCCAGTTGCGTCGTCCTTGGCCTTTTCGCTTTGTACTCAGTGTTCTGTCAGAGGGAGAGATTTTTTATTGGTCATAAATAAGGTAATGAGATAGAAGATAAATAGGCAATAAAGGGAAAAGGATTGGAATGATAGAAGAAAGGAAGAAAAAATAGATGCAAGGAATATATGGGGGAAGAAAGGAATGAAGATGTCAGATGCCTGGGAAGATCATCTCATTTTCGATGACAGACCTCCGTGCTTAAATAAAGTTCACTATTCGTAATGATATACTTACCTGATCCAACTGACCAATTTTTGTGTCATTACGTGAAGTTGTGGGGATGGCTAAAAACGAAAATATAACGACGTGTATAATTTATATTTAAAATAATTCCAAAATTGTATTTAAGGTATACCTTCCACGTCGTTTGGCTTGTGGTGAGGCCAGTCTTCTAGCACAACAGGATATTTGAACATATTATATACAACAGATGCCGCCATTGCGCTGGAAAATGGCTGCCAATGTTTTGTTTTCTCTTTACTTCCGTCAGCAAAATCCGACACTGCTTTGACAACAGCCCATTCCATGCCAATATCATACGCTGCTGCAAGTAGACCTAAAAATTAAAAAATTAAATTCAGACGTGTGTTCCTGTCGTAGGCATAATGCTAACCCATTTTGCATTAATGGCGCATCAAGGCCTATCATGTTTAAACACCGGTTGGTACAATACACCGGTTTGAAGCCTTATCGGTGTGGAGCACTTGAATGATGAGGGAGGCTTTTACCTACCTGCACCCTCCATTTCAAGACCGAGTGCATCTGGGAAATGTTTCGCTAACTTTTGTCGTATGTCAAGACTATCAACTGAATCCGAGCCACTTAACATTACAGCGTCACGATGAACGGCGACATTTAAACTATTCTGGTCTTTTAACGGTGGTTTCCAACCATCAGCTGCATTGAGAATAAGACGAGCCATATTTCTACTAACGTTCGCTTTGGTGCCGCGATGCTCCACTGTGCCATTTTCCTTAATTTTCTTATCATCATAAGTTGCCAGTTTGGCAGAAATCACGACATCGCCAAGTTTTGCCTTCGTCGGTTTCATGCTTGCACAGATCCCGACGAAAAGGACTACTTTTGGATTTAAAATTTCAGCGGCATTTTTCACTGCTATCAGAGCCGCAGCCGGTCCCTGCCAACATTTCATCAATGCAACTCTCACTTTCGGGTCATTCTGATCACCAAATTGACCAAAATATACATATCCTAGCTTTTTACAAACACCTCGTTGAACGTGTTTCATATATGAATAGCAAGCATTGAATTCATGATCATTTGCTGTTATTAGCAGAATATCTGTTGGTAGTTTTGACTGAATCTCGTCACTTGACCAGCCATATAGTTCACTATCAAAATCACTCGTTGTTGGGAGTTTGAACTTGAGTTCTGGTGGTGGTGATGGTGATTGTGCTATAGGATCACTACTTTCACAAGACATAATGAAACAAAGGCAACTCGTTCTACAAAGTTTCAATACAATTAACAACGATGATTCATCGTTGTATTGCCACGTTCGGTATTGCTGGACACCATGCTGGTCATACTCAGCGTTGCAGAATAATCTAAAGCTAAAAATGTTTACATGATCGACAAGTTCTTTATCATGGAAATCAGTGCCCAGCATGATGTACTTAAAGAGCCATCACAAACTGGCCAAAGTCAAATTTTGATAGCCTCGACTTGTCTCAAACGAACTATTTTTTCCACCTTGTGTTTTATACTACGACGGATGATACGTTTCTAGTATAAATTTGCGCTGTCAATGTAAACCTTCACAGATTCATTCTCGTCCCCAGGCCCAAGCTCGGAAGGCCCTCCCTCGGAAACTCATCTCGATTAAAGCCGCCTTCGCAGGCGCATCGCCTACAGATTGGCAGGCAGAATTTGATTGCGAGCAAAGAATCTTAGTGGCCATTTCGATTATTGGTATGCTGTGTTCCTGATTGTAATTCAAAATGAAAAGCAGAGTATCATGCAGTCATTGAGCTTATTGGTTCATGAAGTTAGAGATCACGGAGTGATTATAAATTGCTTAATTTTACAGGCGACGTTTCTCAAAAGGCCAAATATTCTGCAATTGTGAAGGAAGTCATTTAAACGCTCAAATGCTTTAATTCAAATTTTATTTATAAAATATTTCCAATTTTACTTACAATTAAGGTGTTTGTACTTGGAGTACAGGTCTATCAGTATTAAAACAAGCTAGACAACTCGACAGTTGTTTTACAATTGTTACTAATTGGTCCAGTGTTGTTACAAGAGTAAATAAACTATCTATTACAGTAATACAAAAGCTAAAATACTATTTCGTGTAAATGAAAACCATTGATTTAACCTGATTTACACGAGTGCCGTCATGCATTCGAGTAGAAAAAGAATTAGACTAAGAAAAAAAATTTTGCGGCTGTGACCTAAACGAAAGGTATTCAGATTACATATATACATTTCTTGAGTTTCTTGAATAAATTTTCAAAGCTAAGGCCGGTCGTTCAAAGATGGGTTAGTGCTAGCCTCTTCCGCAGGCAACTCTGTGGGTACCTATAAAAGGTCAAAACGTACCAAAAGCATTCTTTACTAGTTGCCTGCGAAGAAGGCTAGATTAGCTCGAACCCTGGGTTAAAAATTAAACCTGCTGTTTTGGTTTGTGCGTTTCTGCATGTCAGATTCTTTCAAAACTTTAGAAAGTAAAACTTCTATCGACCCAGACGAGATTTCTAGAAAAATATTTCCATGTTCAAAAACAAGCTGGTGGAAAAATTGCTTTGAAGAATTTGTTCATTTATAAGCGACACTTTTTGAACAACTGACCTATGCCCCTTGGTCTAAAAATGTTTTTTTCTTCACAGAAAAAATAGTTGAAACATCTTTCACCGATCCATCATGCACTCACGCCTTTTCAATGAGCCAACCCGTTCTGGGGCTGAGTATTCAGTTATCTTTATTTTTTCTAAAACTATAAAATAAGAGGAAAGACGTCAGGAAGGAATACGAAAAGGGAAACAAGAGAAATTGGATGGTAGTTTGGTAAGAAGTGAGAATGGATGGAGAAAAAGGAATGGTAGTAATAAGAATAGCCTGTCGGTAGCAGCCAGTTTTTTGGTGAGAGGAAAACCAGCTGCTACGCAGGCTATAATAAGAAAATAAGAATAGTTAAATGGCGGGAAGGAAGAAAAGATGTATAATCAGGCAATTGAAGCAACAAAGATGCCGATAAAATTACCCCTATACCAGGAATTAAAAACACCCATCCTTGTAAGGGTAGCATGAGAGAAAATAACCTGTGTACGAGGTTGAAACAAAACCTCAATGGAAACATGACATGTGGGTCGAATGATAACGTGCCACAGGGATGAGGCGAAATTATAAATGGACAATTATAAATTTATTTTTAAAAATCTCAAAAAAATCTTAAAATAAATTTCATTCCGATATATTAGAATTACTACCTGTTTCTCTGCGGTGAGGCCAGTCTTCTAGTACAACAGAGTATTTGAACATATTATGTATGATAGATGCCGCCACAACAGTAGCAAATCGCTCCCAAAGTCCCGCCACATTTTCTAAATTACTTCCACCTGCCAAATTGGATACACCTGTTACAATGGCCCATTCCATCTCAAGATCATATGCCGCTGGATATAAACCTAAAAGCACTAAATGAAAAACACTTGATGCGATGAGAAGACATGATCATTTTTGGCGTCTACTGGAACAACATTTTTGGCGTCGACAAGAGGATATATATATATATATAACAGGGCAAAATACAATATAAAGTTCGTGATCATTTCTCTCGGCTTCTCGCCAATTGAATGCATGCATGAGACTGTATACTACTCTAAAAACTCAAAACAGCTTACCTTAAACTGGAGAAACTTTCTTCGAAACTCGAAATTTGCAAAAAGCGTTACTCATTCACTGGCAATGACTATTTAGTATTTTGCTTAGCGTGTATTCAGTGGTGGTGGGGGTATTTTATTTATAAAGCTTCGATCACATGCAATGTGGTTATTAATATTTTATACGTTTGGTCTTGTTCGACTCCATATTTGATATAAATTGAGAGTCATTTTATCGTTTTGTCAACCACAATGTCGAATCAGTTGTTCACGTCTTACCTTCGGAAGTGACAAATAGCAACAAATGATGATAATAAACATTTCTTTGATGCAATTTTGGTTTAAAGAAGTTAAAATGAGCAAGTATAACCATATAGGATGGTTGAAATCTATTATTTCGCCATTAAAATAGCCGCCAAGCAGGTTTGGGGGACAATGACTCTTCCTCGCTATATATAATAATATAAACACCTTCAAATCTCGAATTCGATTGTTTGCTTTTGTTTTATACATTAAAATTACTAGTATTGTTTTCCCCATTAAAATTATTAGTATTGGTATTAATTTAAAACTTTGACTCTTCGTCGCTTCGAAGTTCAAAGATGCTAGGTACATGCACTGCTGAGTTTGTTGACAGTATTTTCAATGAACAGGGAATGAGAGAATTTTATATTGTATTTAATGCATTTATATTTTGTATCCTAAAATTGTAAGAACTATAAAATTAATGCACCTTAACTACAACACCTGCAATGTTGCATTCCCTTGACTATATTGTTGTTACGTGTGGTACAGAGGTGTGGCAGGAATGACTTTTTTGGTTCTTTAAGCTGACATTTCTATAATATATTTTAAAACATTAAAGGCATTTTTATGAATTAATTTCTAATATATTATTTCTTTTCAATGAATATCTTGGAAATGGTATAATTAATACACTAGCATTCAAGGACTGATTGACGCACCAGATTTGCTATGGAAGCTACTATAAATTAAAGTGTATATTTATGTGATATGTTATAGCTTATCTTTATTACTCGCTGGGGCACCTGTGCCCTGGCGAGTATAGGTTTTGGCATTCATTTTTAGTAGATCGGCAATCTCCAATAGTGAATCTCCAATCGTCATCGATAGCCACAAAATAGAATATTAATGCTGCCAATTTTTACCCGAATTATCCATAAATAGCCCTCCATTTTTAGGAAAATTCGGGAAAATTAAACAATTTTACAAGGAATTTCGCATGGAAACAGCAACTTCGCAAATCGCAAGTTTATAAAAGTTTATACGTTTGACTGTGCTGCTTTATATTTTGACAAGAAAGCGACACCGTTCGATTCAGCCCCAAAATATTTTATTTTGAACGTTTTAAAGCGCAGTTTAATTCTAGACCAACTGGCGGCTGACAGTTTTGAAGAAGAATGTAGCGTACTAAATATAACTTTACTTGTAGGGCCTACCGCATTTTAGTACTGTGTTATTAAGCCTTTCGCGCTCGTATTCGACTTTTCCGCTTAGCTCGGGGAAAACCTTGAATCTCAATTGAAAAAGCTGTCAGCTGTGTACTGTATGTATCATGTCTGGCATTGTACAGCAATGTGCGTAGTTGTATAGCCCCAGCGAGTTAACGCTCCGCAGAGCGTCTTGTTAATTCTAATAAAATTGGTCATTCCGTGTATTTTATTCACATTAAGCATTCTTTGTTTTTGATCCAGTAGACGCCATGTCGTACGCTACAGCGTACCTATTGTTTTAGACCTCCTGCTAAAAATGTTAAAAATTTCTAATCGGTTGACATATTTATTCACAGGCTTTAAGCCTTTTTGGTGTGGAGTACACAGATGGCAGAACCACTCACTTGTAGGAAGCTTCTATACCTACCTATTTCCTCGTTTTCAATAACAAGCGCATCTGGAATTTGTTTTTTTAACTCTTTAAGTCTTTCACGATTTTCAATATAATTTGAGCCACTTAACACCAAAGCGCCTAGATGAACATTGACTTTAAAACTCTTCGGGTCTTTTAATGGTGGTTTCCAACCATCAGCCGCAGACAGAATAAGTTTTGTCATACCTTGACCCACATTCGGTCTGGTGCCGCAATATTCAATTGTGTTGTCTGATTTAAATTTCATATTATAAATTTCCAATTTCGCAGAAATTACAACATCACCACGTTTCGCCGTTTTCAGATCTAAGGTTTCACAGATCCCGACCAAAAGGGCGACTTTGGGGCGCAAAATCTCAACGCCATTTGCCACAGCTTTATGACTTTCCATCGATCCGTTTCCACGTCTCATCAATGCAACTCTTAAGTTCTGACTACTCCCATCGCCAAATTGACCAAAATATACCATTCCCAGTTTCCAGCGGCTACTTCGTTGAACTTGTTTCATGTATGAATAGCAAGCAATGAATGCATCTTTATTTGCTGTTATTAACAGAATATCTATCGGCAGTTGTGACTGAATCTCTTTGCTTGACCAGCTAAGTGGTTTGCTATTAATATTACTCAGTGATTGGAGTGTACGATTGAGTTCTGGTGGTGTTTCCACATAACCATCACTTTTGAATGACATGATGACAAAAAATCATCTCGCAAGTCCCAATTGTCTACAAAGTTTCTATATATTTAACAACGATGACCCAGGGTTGTATTGCTAGTGAAGTGTCCGGACGTCATGCTGTCCATGCTCAGCATGCCAAAATAATACAAGCTCACCTGAGACGGCGAGCGGGCAGGGTTGGTGGACTTTAGCACACTCCCCCCAATAATTTTCCACGTACCTATATATAGACACTTTCCAAATTTGCCGAGAAAGGAAATAAATAACATTGACTAAAACCTGACACTAACAGACGGTTAGTGACGCTTAGGGTTCAGAGTTATTTTAGCTCAGGCATCCCGTTGTCAATGTTATTTCGTATCATTCATTTGCATATTTTTTTGTGAAGTAGTGTGTATAGCAAATGAATTATTATCTGTGCGGGAAAGTTGTAGATGAGTATATGACAAATTAATTGAAAGATTTGCAGTTACTTTGCAGATACTATCAATGTGATGCTCACCAAATATCGTTTATCATTGTTTATAAAATAAATTATATTACGTGTCAGTGCTTTGCATGTGTGAGAAATTTCCGCTATATCTTCCCTAATGGTTTACCATAAAACATTTTGAACTTTTTCATCAAAAACGTATTAGTTGCGAGAGATGAACCAGGCAGGTATCTAGACCACCTTATGAAAATCAACGGCAGCATAATGTACGTATAAAAACCATAAAAAAAGCATTTAAAACATGGGTCTTAGTAAAGATTATCATGCTGGGCATTGATTTTCATAACAAAGCCTTATTAATCATAAAAACATATTTAGCTTTAAAATATTTTGGTATGCTGAGCATGACCAGCATGACGTTCAGCGGTGACAACGGTGACATCAACAGAACTTGGTTGAAAAACATGATCGTTTCATCAACATGTCTTCGGAAGGCAATGATCGTGTACCAACACCACCAGAACTCAATTTCACTCTCAAAACAGAGAGTGACTTTAATAACAATGACTTGTCAAGTGACGAGATTCAGGCACAACTACTACTGACAGATATTTTGATAATAACAGCAAGTGATCATGAATCGAGTGCTTGTTATTCGTATATGAAACCTATTCGACGATGTTATTGTGAAGATCTATATAGATGTGTAGATTTCGGTCAATTTGGCGATGAGGATGATCAGAATGTGAAAGTTACATTGATGAAATGTGAATTGCGATCGAATGAAGGTCAGTTAGCTGTGAAAAATGCTGCTGAAATATTAAAGCCAAAAGTAGTTCTTTTTGTCGGTACCTGTGCAAGCAAGAACCCGAAGAAGGCAAAACTTGGCGATGTTGTCGCTTCCGCAAAGTTGGGGACTTATGATAGAAAAGTTATGGCAGATGGTACAGTGAACTATCGCGGTGCAAAAGTGAGTGAAATCATGGCTTGTCTTATTCTAAGTGCAGCTGATGATTGGAAACCACCGTTAAAAGACCCAACTAGTTTAAACATCGAAGTTCATTGTGACGCTGTGATGTTAAGTGACTCAAATTTATTCGACGACGACAAAGATGTAGTGGATTATTGCCATAATGCACTTGGCCTTGAAATGGAGAGTGCAGGTAGGTAGAATTTTACAGCCTGTTACAATCAAATTAAATAAAAAGTAAATCGAATTCAAGAGGAAATTGCTAGATAGTATACTTCAAAATAAGGTTTCCGTTTTTATATCAATTTTTTATAAGTAAGTTGGAGTTAGGTTAGGGTTATGGTTAGGTTGGGTTTGGGGTTAGGGTTAAGGTTAGTATTAGGGTGATGGTTTAGTTTTGCGTTAGGATGGTTTTTCTACGTTATAAAAACGGAAACCTTATTTTGAAGTATACTATCTATCTGAAGTATACTATCTTTTCCATATCTTCACTAGTGAAGATATCGATCACGTGTCTGTTAGTATTTATACAATTTTTTGCTTGGGACTATATAATAAACAGAACATTACACGTTGGCTTGAAGATATGACTTTTATCTTCTCGTGTTAAAAACAATATTTTACTCACTCGCTGCGCTCGTTCGTAAAATATTGTTTTCACCACTTATTTTTTTATTTATTTATAAACTTTACAATCAACAAAACGATTGAAGGTACAGACAACAGGACTGAGGAGTCCCAAATCAAGTCCTACCTACACATTACATTGACATTGTAAAACAATAGAGACAGGTTACAACTTTAACAAAGCTACAATACAAAATTACAACACACGATCAATGCGTTCCAACCCATCTTTACACTTTCCAAAGTTAATATGGTTTGGAAAATGATCAAGTTAGAAAAAAAAATTTATACATATAGATGAGTCAACATTGTGCAGCACAGACATAGTCACAGAATACAGTAAACATCCTAAACATGCATGTGCTCCAAGCTGTCCCTGCATTTTCCAAAGATAGGATTTCAAGAACATAGACTGCCACTCAAAGATAAAAAGTCATATCTTCGCGTCGCCGTGTAATATCCCCTATATATTTCTTGTGACTTGAATACTGAACAATTAAACAGTAACTGAACAGAAATTAACCCAGAATGTCAAAAGCCGAAATATTGTACCTCGTATTCAAAATGTGATTTTTTGCGGTATTTTACGGCAGATTTGCCGTGATCATTGAAATAATTAGAGACTTTAAGAAAGGCAAAGAAAGATTTTACGGTATCAGGCAATAAAGAGTAAATAAACTTGCTGTTTTAAAACTGAAATACATTGATTATTCTTTCGACGCAAGAAAGAAAATATGAAACGAAAATTTTGCCAAGAAAGTTCGAACCTGCCGTTTGCCGTTCCCGGAAACGTGAAGCTTAAGCTCACTAATATAATTGGAACGCTACCTTCAGATAAACTGCCTATATTTTTCTTGAAGCCAAATCTGACCTCCAGACACGCGTGTCTGGAGGTCAGATCACGCGTGTTGCTTATATAATATAATTAGCAGTTGAACGCTCGTCGCATGCGTGAAAAGACTGGGACCAACCTTCAAGTTGAGCTTCAAATCACAGAGGATTGCAGACTCAGAATTCGAGATTGCTTCAAATTTCCGGTTGGAGGTAGCGTCCAGTTATATTCATTTCAATGGCCAACTATAGTTTGCGACGCGTGGGTGGACACCACGCGTTTAGCATAATGAAAAATATGACGGAACAAAGCAACAAAACCTCAAGAACTAAATTAAGAGATATGTTAGCTTCAATGATCCAAAGGATACAGGTCAGGTTCAAGGGGAATCTCAGGTATAAATACAAAAATAAACATTGTATTGCTTAGTTATTCAGCAAGTTTATTATCAACTTAATTGGTGGGTTCTTTCACTGGGAAAAAATGTGAAATCCATACTATGAAATTTGCAATTGCACCACTAAATCCATAGTATATCCATACTATTTCAATACTATTATAGTTACTATAACCTTAGTATGGAAATATACAATTATTATGGATAATCAAAATCCATTCTATTTCCAATGAAGGTCCATACAATTTCCATCCTGTGGCCGTCTATGGATTTTCAATTTTTTTTCCAGTGTTTAACATTCTTTTTGACTGAAGGCTTGCATGGCAAATTGAAACTGACGAATATCGGAGTAATGGGAAACAACGCTGGCTTGTGAAAAACACCGAGTAAAACAGCTCTGCTGCGGGTGCATGGCAAAAAATAAGTTTCCGTGCAAATTTAGACTTTCTGGCAAAACTGTTTGAAAATTTCGGTCAAAACAAAATTTTGTCAAAAAACAATATGTGATATAAATTTCATTCTCCTTTCGCCTATTTGTTTTCAAGCAACCAGCCTCATATTTGCGCCACCTTGTGACCAACGCTTTTTGAGGCTGAGCAAGCAGTCCAGATATAGGGAGGTCAGTTATTACACGTCTAATAATGTAACGTCATGCGCATATGCATGTGACGTCATTTGTATATAGCTTTGTATTACATGTTTATGAGTATCTCAGTATCAGTATCTCAGTATCAGTAAAAAAAAGTGTAAAGAGATGATTGTCTCCTTTCGACGAGATATTGAGCAGCCACCACCCACCTTAGTTGTTGAAAACATTTGTCTTGAAAGAATAGAATCCCACAAAGTATTAGGTTTAACGATCCAGAATAATCTGAAGTGGGATTTGCATATCAGTGAGATAGTAACCTCTGGAAGCACCACGAAGCTACGTAATAAAGAGTGAGAACGGTACGGAATATCGACGGAATCGCAGACATCTGCGAAAGACTAGAGAACATCAAGCTGACCTAGACACACCGGATATTGACGATCCCCAAGATCCGATCCAACAACCAATGCAGAAATTAAGAAACGACATCCAAATCCCAATAGCGCCAAACCCACCTCAACTGAAGACAAGCCGTTATGGCAGACGGATAAACCAGAATCCGAACTACAAGACGTGAACATATGGAGCATGATTGCCATATTGTTTGAATATCTTTACTTAAAGGTGATGTAAAGTCCGTAATGTAAACAAACGCTTTGTTTACATTTTGAACTCAGTGCTACAGTTGTAAAATATGATTAGATATATATTATACTGAATTTTTAACACTCTCCCGGTTCGCTATGCTTGTAAATGAATGCAGACTAGAGATTCAATTCAAGAAAGTTCGGAAGGTGCGAAATATTAACAACATTCCAAAGGTTGCTCCCCCACTGATGGAATGTGTTGATGCGCGGAATATATGCGCAGAACGGACTTTACAGCATCTTTAAATATTGAATCGAACACGTAATCCAAAGATAGACTTGATTTCTTAAATAATTCATTTTACGTTATATATAATTTGGTAATAATTACTTTTAATTTAGAAAAAGGGGGATGTAATATATGCTCATATATAGTAGCTATATACACACATCAATTAGGTTGATTGACAGTTCATATCATAATCACTAGCACATATAATTGTAATAGGAACCTCAAGGGCACTCGCTAGAACACCTAGACATAATCAGATGTGTATCTTTTACTTATAAAGCTTTTTTTTCTTTTTTTTTTCAATTTATTCATATAATAATACGTACATACATTAATAAGACAAGCCGCTAATAGCTACAAAGCTAGTCGAGGCGGCTTGTCTATAGTGACACAGTTACAAAGCCATTGATTATATATCAAATTATATATACATAATATGAAATAATTTTCAATGAAATTACATATTAATAAACTTAACGTTTTTAGAAAGGAAAAAAAAAGTAATAATAATAATATACTGTATATCAATTAAGAACAGGGAAAAAAGTGGGAGTTAACACTTCAATTTGAGGCTTCATTGCGTGATATTTTCTTAATTTTACAGCTGAGCGACTCTATGTCCGGATAAGTGTTTTCATTCTGTAAAATGTCCAAAAGGATACTACGTATCCTTTTCTTAAATGCTCTTTTTGGCAATTCTCTTATGCAAGATGGTACCTCATTCCACCATTTTACTCCAACATGAGAAAAAGACTTTCGTTGAATTTCTAGTTTCGATTGTTTAATGTAAAAATTATTTGACTTTGAAGAACGAGTATTATAAGAATGAATATCTAACGTTTTCTGGAAAAGATTGAGAATATTGACTGGTGCGCAACTCTATTTTTAACATCATGCATCAATGTAAGTACATTTTCGTAGAATAAGATATTTACTGGTAAAATATTTGTAGCAACAAGGTATTGCGTGTTCTCGTTTATCTGAAAAATGGATGAAGCGAAGAACACGTTTTTGCAAAACTAAGATATTACTCCAATTTGACTTGCTTGTCTGACCCCAGATAACAAGACAATAGGAGAGATATGGACCTATTAGCGATTTATAAATATTAAGTAAAGTATGTTTAGGTACAAAGTGCCTTAATTTTGAAATCATGCCTACAGTTTTACTTATTTTACTTAGAACATGTTCTACATGATATTTCCATGAGAGATTCTTGTCCATTAAAACCCCTAGATATTTAATATAATCTTCACAATTAAGCTCTGTATATCCATTCAATTCGTTATTATACATTTTGATAATAGGCTGATATACTAATTTCTTTTGATATGGATGAAAAATAACAAAATTAGACTTTTTTAAATTAAAACTAAGTTTATTTGAACTAAGCCAGTCATATAAATGGCAAAGTTCTTCATTAACAAGTTTTTCAAGAGATTTAAGGTCTTTTTCGGAAAAGAGTAGATTTGTATCATCAGCAAATAGATAAAATTTAAATTTCTTAGAGCAATTTTCAATATCATTAATATAAAGCAAGAAAAGTAATGGACCCAAAACCGATCCTTGAGGCACGCCACACGTTATTGTAGCCTTTTTGGATATGTGATTACCAATTTGTGTAGTTTGCGTTCTACCATTTAAATATGAACTAAACCAATCAATTATTCCTCTAAATCCGTAATAACATAATTTTTGTAAAAGAATTTCATGATCAACGGTATCAAAAGCTTTTTTTAAATCAATAAATACTCCGCACGAAAATAATTTCTTAGCCATATTTGACTGAATGGTATTAACAATATCAAGAATTGCATGTTCAGTTGAATGCAATTCTCGAAAACCATACTGACAAGAAGAAAGGATAGCATGTTTTTGAATAAAGCTCTGCATCCTTTTATACATCATCTTTTCAAAAAGTCTATTAAAATTAGATAATAACGATATCGGCCGGTAATTATTAGCATCAGTCCTGTCATCATTTTTAAATATTGGAATGATTTTTGACATTTTTAATTTGGATGGATATACTCCTAACTCAATTGATAAATTAAATAATCTACACAATACGTAACTAATAATATCGCTGGCACATTTCAATATCTGAGAGGGACAAGAATATAAACCATGTGCTTTGTTGATTGGAAGTGCTAAAATCTCAAGTTTCACTTCAACAGGAGTAATTAGATTAAAACAAAACAAATCTCGCGGAGATTTAGATTTTATAAGAAAGTCGGAATAGTGCTTTAGCGGGTTTAGTAACTGGTTAGCCAATTTATGTCCAACTGATGCAAAATGATTATTTAATATATCTGGGATATGGGTTACGTTTCGTATAAGTCTATTACCATTATTATGGTCTTTGATAGCTTGAATGCAGGATGATTTCTGAGTTTTACGATTCATAATAGTATTAATTGCTTCCCATGTTTTTTTTCATATTCGTCAAATGTTTGTTAAAATATTCACAATAATAGTTAGCTTTACTTAATCGTATTAATCTTTGTATTCGATTTCTGTATATTTTATACTCAGACTGTTTTCCGTCAGCATATAGTTGATTTTTGTGTTTAATAGCTGTTCTTATTCCTTTAGTAATCCAAGGTTTCGAGAGCCGTTTAGCTTGACGACGCGATATCAGTTTGATTGGTGCGTGTTTATTCAGTATCGCATTAATTCTTTTATAAATAAAGCAAAATGTTTTATCAATATCCCTATCCCCTTTTAAGAATATTTCATCCCAATCTGTGAGAGACAACTCATTGTTAAAATTAACAGCAGAAAATTGGGAAAAATCACGTCGTTGTTGCTTTATTGGTATTTCTATTTTATCTTTAGTTGATTTAAAAATACAGAATTGAGAGAAATGATCAGTTATATCACGTTTCACGATTTGAACTGCTTTCTCAGCCAAACCGTTTGATTTCGGATAATATGGACTTGAAGTCTGGTGCTCGAAATTCCACTTTTGTGCGAACTGCTTGTACTCTGTGGCAGTGTACTGAGGACCATTGTCACTTCTTACGACTGATGGAATTCCATGTCTTGCAAATATGGACTTCATATGATTCACAACAGTTCTGCTGGTGGTGTTTTCCAACTTGACTACTTCAATGTAACGCGAATAATAATCTGCCACGACCAGATAGTTGTTCTGTTCCCACTGAAACAAATCAGTTGCGACCATTTCCCAGGGTCTCGATGGTATTGTTCCTTGCACCATGGGTTCTTTGGGATTCGACATCTGGTATTCTTGGCAGGTTTGGCATTTGGATACAATAGCTTCAATTTGCTCATTCATTCTTGGCCAAAACATAATGTCCCTTGCTCGTCGTTTGGATTTCTCTATGCCCATGTGACTCTCGTGTATTCTTTCTAGCATCTTTCCTCTCATACTGAGGGGTATGATAATCTTGTCTTGCTTCAACAAGATTCCATCTACTTCTGAAAGCTCGATAATTCCAGTAGTCCTGGATTTCGCAAGGTGTTTGTTTTCTTGTCTCTGGCCATCCCCTTCGGATTGTTGAGAACAGGGTCTTCATGGTCTGGTCAATCGCTGTTTCTTTCTTGATTTGTTCCAGTCGTTCTTCGGATACTGGCATTCTGCTGGTTACCGTGTGCACGTAACATTCTAACTCTTCGTTGAGAGTGAGGTTGATCTCTTCACATCGTTGCAGGGTATTCATCAGACGTTCGTCGTGCTCTTCGACTGTGGCTCCCCAAACCAAAATATCATCCACATCACTGTCGAATTCACCCACTCGGTTGGACCATCGACTTTCTCCACGACTCCCTTTTCTTCCATATCGTCTAGCGAAGACCTCAGCCTCTCTCTGAGCGCAACTGGTGTACTTCTTAAAGGACTGACCACAGGTATAATCGTAGGGTCGACTTCGATGTGGTATGGATTCTTTAGGCATCCCAAACCTTGAAATACTTTAGGAAATTTCTCATGAATGGTTTCTGCTGATTGACCAATCACATTGTTCACATTCATGATGATTTTGATCAGATTCAGTTCTTGAGAAGCTTTCAAACCAATGATGGGAACTTGTCCAGTTTTCACCACGAAAAATTTCAATGTCTTGTTGTTACATTTCAGATTGCATTCTCCGACGACCGGTAGATAATCGCCAGTGTAACTTGTTAACTTTGCTGTTGGTCTTTCTAACCGGGTTTGTTTCAGCTGCATCTTCTCGAATGTAGGTAGGGGTATTATATTGGCTTGTGATCCCGTATCAATCTTGAACTTGATCTCATTTCCCTCGATTGATAAAGTTTTGAAAACATTCTCTTCGTTATGAATTGAACTAACCGCTCCAATAAACAACGGTTCGTCATCTGTACTCGCTTTGTCTACTGCATGTATTTTCTTTGACTTGCAGAATTTAGCGAAATGATTGTTTTTGTCACACTTAAAACATTTCTTACCAAAAGCTGGGCATTCTTTCGCAGGATGAGACTTTCCGCACTTTCCGCAACACGATACTTGTTCTTGTTTGTTGCCGCCGTTATGCTTGAAATCACGCCTTCGATTTGCATCGAATTTGCTACGATAATTTCCTGATTTGTTATGTTTTCCTATGGCCGTGACGCTCTGAACATCGTTTAGTACTTTTAGTTGTTCCTCAGACTGTTCGTTTATTTGACATACTTCTAACGCTTTATCTAACGTTAACTTTCGTTCTCGTAATAACCGTTCTCTCACACGCTCCGATTTTATTCCGTAAACAACGCGGTCCCTAATCAACTCGTCCTCAAGAGACCCGAAGTTGCAATTCTTAGCGAGCAATTTAAGTTCAGTTACGTACTGATCGGCTGTTTCGTCGTCTCTTTGCACTCGCGTATTAAACTTGTATCTTTCCATAATCGTGTTTCTTCTGGGTTCACAATACTCGTCAAACTTCGCGAATAACACGTCGATTTTGTCCGTTTGAGCCTCTGTAAACTTCATTGTGTTATAAATGTCTCGCCCGTCTTGTCCGATCTAGCCTGAAAACAGACCTCAACGCATATACTATGCATATAGTGTAATATTCTAAATATTTTGTGAAGTCGAACGACAAATATACTAACAGTATCTACCGTCTAAAATTAAAACTAGAGCGGGAGTAGAGCAGACTTGTCAAATACTTCAGCGTTGTGTCTTTCCATTGTAATAATAGGCTTATAATACAATAATTTTTACACTATTTATGTTCCGTGATATAAATCATAATAAAACTGATACAATTATACACATAGGCCTATGTGTCAGTGCAATAGTGCGTTTATATTTGCATTTCGATAACATTAGCACGTACAAAATATTTTATTTAGATTTTAGCATTGTATGGCGGTTTCAAAATGTATAAATTGGAAGAGTTTGGTCCTGTTTGGATACAATTCAACAATGGGACATGACATGGCCATTGCCAAATTTGCGTACGCAGGTTTTATTGCATTTAGAGAATGTGTTGAAAATGTTGTATTATTACTAGCTGTAACTGTTTGAGTGCAAGGTTAAGAGTATTTAAAAGCAATATACTGCATGGGGTTACCAATATTTTTAATATTTATTCAAACTTACAAACTTTCAATAAAGTGAATCGACAACTTTCGTTGTATTTTTAGGTATTAATACATATAAATATGTCAATCATCATCGTTAATTATTGCAAAATGCAAAGTGGGCGGTAGAGCGTTTTGACATGATTTTCATCAGACCTTCGTTTTGCGCCTCTCACCGCGAATTATAGAGTGAGCAAAACGAAGGTCTGTATTCAGGCTATGTCCGATCACACACCGGAACGCCGCACATTGTTCTTTCTCGCTGGCTTTAGACATGGTTAATCCAAGATATAACTGCATAGTTTCCTTCCATCGTCTCCATCTTTCGGATAACGACAACTGTTCAGTTGTTGAAAAGTTCATCTTTAAAGGAGGCTTCATAAACGGCTCCATCCTGACACCATGTTATGTTATTAGTCTGTTTATTATGTTACAAAACGACCCTTATATACATGAGTCTAATTAGCATGCGTAATCGAAGTAATCATCATGGCGGACAGTTCTAATTTTGTGAGCTCTACAAAATTCCATCAAAATATCCCGAAAATATGGAACGCTAAAGAAATTTGTAATCATATAGCTTCTTCCAACTTAAGTTATGATAGTAAACGAATTAAATGGATTGGAACTTTTGATATATTGCAGAAATTTGTCGAATGCGATCTTAAATTGGATGGCAAATGGTCTTCGCCAGGCGGTTGTTCTAAAAAGTTTACGTGCTATAATCTAGATATATCAATAACTTGGTACCCCAAGAAACTAAATACACTCGTATTTCACGGTGAGGAAAGCTCGGGTTTGGTTGACGCGTTAATAAATGTGTGTGCAGAGGCAATCTCTGAAGACGACGGTTTATCAAACAATGTATGTGTGTCGGCCATACATAGTTCGATTGCAACTATAAACCCAGCTGTTGATGAACCCGAACAGATGTCTAATCACTGTATTAAGGACTTTGAACAAACTGATAATCATCAAAAGGTCAGTATAGAGCATGATTTCAAACTTGGCTGTCAGTGTAGAATTTTAGCTGCTGATTTGGAGGGAGTTAAGCTCGATATAGCAATCATGTGCAGGGACATAGAAACTAAGTTCCTTGCAGCTTTCAATTCACGGGATAGTGATAGTGAACAAATAAGTGAACTTAAACACGAGCTTCTTAAGGAAAAGGAGAAATGTAGTCAGTTGGAGGCTGATATATCTATTTTGGTTCGAGGAAGGAATAGGGAGATAAACGAATTAAAAAATACCATTACCTGTCTCGAAAACAAACTTAAATCAAGCGATGTCATAAATGAATCTCTAAGACAATCGCTAATGCAAATTAATTCAGAAAAATTCAATGGTGTATTGAGTGCCGAACAAAGCCTGTCAAACCAACCTGAACAAATTAATACTTATAACTGCATCATAGACACTGTAAAATCGATAGAAACTGCAAATTCAAACCTAGGAATTTGTTTACCAGGTGAACCATTTATTCCCGAAACTGTCAGCGTTGAAAGCCCCCTTGATAATTCATGTTTAATTGTCCAACCAGCAAGTTGTAATAGAAACAACAATAAACTCGACAACAAATGTGAAATTAACAAAGTGAAGTTAACGGAGCATAATATGAATAACGACAAAATCAGTAAAGCTAAGGTCTCGCGAAGTTACTCTCGACGCAATCTTAATTCTCCCCCTTACTGTGAGCCATTGTCGCTGAAATCGCTTGGAAACTTGCCTCTTATCGAAATATCCAAGCCATGTATAACTCAGAAGAAGGAACCCTTTTTAGAAAACCCATCAAATATATTGAATGATAGTACAACTAGCACTGAGACAGTTACTCAGCATGTGTGCATTGGCCAAATACCAGCTGATATTTCTGAATTTATTGTCTTAGACGGCGACGAATGCATGTCTGAGTGTGACAATACTAATAACTGTCCTTTTCGGCAGAGCTTCCCGGAGCGTCCCCCGCCCTTGCCTCATGTTCGAAGAGCGGAATGGTTGGCGCATTTAAATCTTGTTCGCCGGCTGACGGCAAAGTAAATTCTAAAGAAAATGAGAGAGAATCGCATGAAAATTACAGTTCGATTCCCGTTGAACTTCTTGTTCAAAAAATTCCTGTGAGAATAACCCATCGCGTATCAAACTTTCAAAGAAAAATAAATGCAAAACCTAGTCAATTAAGAACACTACAGCATCAATCGGTTCCAGTACCAGGGAAAAGTTTCAACCGTAGAAATAACTTAATTTATATTAGTGGCCACCAAACCAAAAAAACGCCCTTACTCTCTTCTCTACCGAATTTATTTGTTTCTAATTCAAGATCGCTGATCAGCAAGATTGACGAACTGTCTGCTACAGTAAAATCCTATACATCAGACATTGTCGTTGTTACCGAAACGTGGCTTTCTTCAAATGTTCCTAATTCAGCAATAGATTTATGCGGTTATTCCTTACTGAGGCATGATCGTTCCGACGGCAGACGAGGAGGTGGAGTCTGTGTCTTTGTAAAGGACATGCTTCCGTTCATTCATCTTAAAGAGATTGAAAGTCACGAATATGAGTCGCTTTGGTTACTCTTAAAACCTCACCGCTTGCCTCGTGGTTTAAATTCAATTGTATTGGGAATCGTGTACCATCCACCTGGAAGTGACGATAAAGCCCTTCTTTCACACCTTACCGAATCAATCGATTCTGTCCTTTCCACCAATCCCGGTGCAGGAATTATTTTGGCCGGAGATTTTAACCAATTTAAACATCGCCAGTTATGCAGTTCCTTTAACCTCAAGCAGTTAGTCAAAGACGCTACTAGAGGAAAGAATATTTTAGATAAAATATTTACCAACATTTCTAAATTTTATAATTCTGCCCTGGTAATTTCTCCAATTGGACATTCCGATCATAATTCCATCGTTCTTAAACCTCTTCCAGCTAACTCTTATGGTGGCACAAGGTCTACACGTTTAGTACGAGACTCTCGCCCAACCAATCGTCGAATTGTTAGCGATCATCTGTCGAAAGTTAATTGGTTACCTTTGCACCATATGGAATCTTGTGACGAGCAGTTCCAGTATTTTTCCACCATCGTTGATAATATCATAAACGAACATTTGCCTTGGAAACAAATCAAAATTGATTCTAGTGACAAGCCTTGGATTACTTCCGAAATAAAATCTCTTATTTCCAAGCGGCAAACAGCATGGGCGGCTGGCAATAACCTGATGTTCAGATTCTATCGAAACAAAGTCAATGCACTTTGCAAAAAAGCACGACTAAATTACTACAATAAAAGTATCGCGGGCGTTCAACAGTCCGATTCTCGTAAATGGTGGTCAGCGGTGAAGAATATTGCCGGTCTTCAGTCTTCTAAGAATGTATCTACAATGATGTTCCAAGGTAAATCCTACTCTGATGCCGATTTAGCAAATTTGCTCAACGACAAGTTCGTTGCTGTAGGGTCCTCCTTACCCAATCTAAACTGGCTCCCCCTTCCCACAAATGACATTCCAGATGATTTCTGCATCTCTGTCGAGGAGACTGAAAAGGCCCTATTATCATCTAAACTTCATTCATCTGCTGGTCCCGATGAAATTCCTTCTTGGCTTCTCCGGGAAAACGCTTCAGTGTTGTGTCGACCTTTGTGTTCTATTTTTAATTCATCAGTTCGTGAAGGATTTGTTCCCTCAATATGGAAGGCAGCAAATATTACACCAGTTCAAAAATCTTCGCCTCCTAAAGATGTTGATTCTGACTTCAGACCAATCTCCCTCACACCAATTATCAGCAAGATTCTTGAATCCTTTCCCTACAAATGGCTACTTGACTCCGTCTCAAAAAAAATTGATTCCTTGCAATTTGGTTCGCTGAAGGGTTCAAGCACTAGTATGGCATTAATCTACATGCTACATAAATGGTTTGAAGCAGCTGACAAACAAGGCAACACTATACGGATTTGTTTACTTGATTTTGCCAAGGCGTTTGATAGATTAGATCATAACATTCTGTTGGAAAAATTGAAAGACATGGAAATTCATCCCGTGTTACTCAACTGGATCGCAAACTTCCTAACAGGCAGACAACAAAGAACCCGTGTTGGTCAGTTCTTTTCTGAGTGGAAGTTTTTAAACGCCGGCGTCCCACAAGGAACGAAGCTTGGCCCGCTATTATTTTTGATCATGATAAATGACTTGGCTGTAGTGGATGAAACTGTTAAATTTGTCGATGATACTAGCCTTTGGGAAATAATATCAAACAATTCCCCTTCCCAGTTACCCGCTAACATCATCAGCTGCTCTGAATGGTCATCAGACAATAATATGAAGTTAAACGTATCAAAGACCAAAGAATTGCGTGTCTGCTTTTCTAAGCTTACTCCATCGTTTGCCCCTATTACCATTCGCGGTCAAGAGGTCGACGTCGTTTCCGAGGCCAAACTATTGGGCGTTGTCCTTTCGGACGACCTCAAATGGAACTGCCATATTGACTACATTTGCAAGAAAGCCGCGAAGCGTTTGTACGGTCTGCGCCTTCTTAAAAGAAATGCTTTACCTACTCATATTCTGATCTCAACCTATTGTACACATATTCGACCAATTGTCGAATATGCTTGTCAGGTGTGGCATTATGGCCTTCCTCATTACCTGAGTGATCAAGTTGAAAAAATACAAAAAAGGGCATTAAAAATTATTTTCCCTGGAACTATTTATGCTGAATGTTTGCTTAAAGCTAACTTGATGACTCTTTACGAACGTAGAACTGTCCATTGCAAGCGACTTTTTTCGAAGATGTTGGAACCCACTCATAAACTGAATGCCTTAGTACCGCCTAAAAGTCTTCAAACTTATAATCTGAGGTCTTATCCCAACTTATTAGTACCTAGGTGTAGAACTGAACGTTTTTCGAACAGTTTCATTCCTGCTGCGTCTCGTGCTTATAATAATAAGTAAACTTTAGATTACTAACGTTATTTTTATCTAACTTACCTATTTTTACCTGTAAATATAGAATAGATTAAATACCTATGTTCTTATACCCTGTAATTCCAAAGTAATTCAGTTGTTACTGCTAGTTTGGAAATTTTTAATAATAATAATAATAATAATAATAATAATAAAAAATGCGGACAAATATACTGACGCTGATGCTTTCCATATATTTACTATTCAATTTCGAAATCTCGGCCACGCAATTTCCAGTCAGAATATGCAGAAACCCATGAAAGCGGAATGTCAGCAATAAAATCGTCTAACCCAACTGCATATACCTCCGCCAGCGAATTAAGGCTTCATGTATTTTGCCACGACCAATATCGAGTGTGCATGGCAAGAAATGTTTCCCCTACAGTGGAGTTAAAATCTGTACTGAGCCTTCCTGACCGAGAAACCGACAATCTTTAATTTTTTTCCCTAGCAGTATTTCCTCTGCCAGTTTGTAATTTTATACCTCGGTTGATACAGGAGTTTGGGATTTTGCGTTGTGCAATCTTTTATGGGCGGTATTTGGTTAATGATTTCTTGGGTCTTCACCGGGTTTGGAGAGTAGACCATATCGTGAGATATTGACTGTATAGTAAGGCATAATGTATGTATAATGCGTGTGTAGGGTGTTCTGTATATCTTGTTTTCGATCCATACACGCGTGTCGTGGCTGAGGTTTAAATGTGCAAGGTAGTTTGTAAATTTATTCCTGATGTCCCTGATTGAGATATATGATTTGGTACAGTACATATATTATAACCTAGAGATTTGTGTATAGCGTATTGTTTGCTATATGCATCCTTCAAATTGGCTTGTATAGCTGGCTAGCGCTACAGTTTTAAGATATCTTAAATTGAGTTACAGAGTAATGAAGTCTATTTATATAATTACCACTTTGGGGTCAGGCAAAGGATACGTAATCCTACAAAATTGTTAATGTGGTTCACGGGGAAAACGAAACAACATGAATATACCTCACCACAAGGAGTTAGATTATAAGATGAAAGTATTCTGCGAACTGGCATAATTTGACTGGCCATATCGAGGAATGGGCGCAAATGTAGCTGCTTTCAAGCAAAATATGTTATAAATAGGGGCATACTGTATATAACTATACGATAAAATTGTGGTCGATGGACGCAGAAGCATGTGACATGTACCTAACTGCCTAAACTGTGTTTTGAGTATAATTTCAGACTATAGCGTGTACGTATATAGGACGACTCGTCGACTCATTTAATGCATGTAGCCGAATGTTCCATCCTGAAAGCAGGGTTTTTTTTGGGGTTTTTTTTTGGGGGGGGGGGGGTTTGAGGAAGTGTACGATATTACTTGTAAATGACAAATATATACATATAGGATTATATTGTACATATAAAATTATCGCCTAACACATGTTAAACCTGGGCTTAGACCTACGTTTTCATAATCAATGCCTCGTAAGAGCAAGTCGCGCAATAGCTATCATGTTGATAAAATAAATGGAGCTGACAGAAGGCGAACAGTTCATGGCATGTGCTCGAATTACGCACGTAGTATGGCTCCAAAAATGTTCTACCATGGACGGATATTGGTATAGGTTTATGCTGTTCGTAGCAACTTCAGCGGATAACATAACGCGCTTAAGTATAATGAGAATATGAAACGCACTCACCGGTTTAAAGTCGAACAGATCTGATGTGGATAGAAAGTAGCCTTTCCCAGGTTCTGAACGTCGCGACTTGGAAGCTTCGATATATCCGAGAAAAAGATAGCGCGGGCATTCTCGCGTGTACGAAAAATTTTCCTTTTATGTTGTCTCGAATACCGTTGAAACCAGAGTGAACTGAGATAAGATTTGGCTAGCTTTTGCTGATAACTGAAGAATGTCGGCTTAGCAAAATAGGATTATATTGGCAGTTTGACATTGACGCTTGGCAGATATTGCCCGGAGAGGAAAGCGGTTGTTTTCCCTGGTTATCGTTACCGTTTAGGTTACATAGTTTTAGGTATGGATGTTGCCTCTTATTAATCCCAATTTATTTTTAAATAAATTGCTCCAAACTGGGTAAAAAATGCACTAAAACA